AACTCATAATTGAAGGGGATTCAGAGGTGGTGATAGGGTGGCTAACTAAAGATCAAAATGGTTTATGGAAGTACAATAATGAGAGGAGGAAATTCAAGTGGCTGGTGCGGGAGATGGAAGTTAAGACATGTTGGATTAAAAGATCGGCTAATTCCCTAGCTGACGGTTTAGCTAAACAAGGGGCAGAAAGGGATTCACTGTTTTGAGCTAAGCTGTAACTTTAGTGTCTTTTTATCTTTTTTCCTTTCTTGAGGTTCTTTGTGGCTCTTGGAAGATAAGTGTGTTTGTCTTCCACTTGTAAATTTTCTACTGATGATTTAATGAAAGTGTTATTGATCAAAAAAAAAAAACAAACAAACCTCTCAACTAAATAGCTTCTTTAACTGGCTCAATCACTGCCATATAATCAACCACCAATAGAAAATACATAACCTGAGTGATCTTCTCTTGTCAAGATCACTTGCATAATCTGAATCAACATAACCCATCAAACTGTCACTGCTCCTTCCAAACTCCAAACAAGTATCTGATATTCCTTTTCAAGTATCCAAGAATCCAATTCACTACCTGCCAATGTGTATTATGTATGCCATGGTTTGTACATGACCTGACATTTCACACGCACTTAGTGTAGTGAGCAGATATAGGCCCAAGCCCAATCCATTTTCAGCTTATAGGTCCAAACCAAATACGAAGAGTAATGCATTTTCTATTGGTGGTTGTGCTGTTAGTTGGAAAGTTACTTTACAGTCTATAGTTGCTTTGTCTACTACTGAGGCTGAGTATATGGCAGTGACTAAGGTAGTTAAAGAAGCCATTTGGTTGAGAGGTTTGTTTGGTGAACTCAGTTTTGATCCAAAGGTGATTGTTATCTATTGTGATAGTCAGAGTGTTATTCATCTGACCAAAGATCAAATGTAACAATCAACCATTCAACCAACTGACAATTATGGAGTTAAAATAAGACAGATTTTATACCAAAATAAATTGCTAGAAGCAAAATCATGAAAAAAAAGGATGGAACTTAGTGGGAGATAATGAATTAGGTCTCTATGAAAGTAGTACTTGAAGCAGCAAGAAAGGTGATAATGATATGGTGTCAATCATGACCAAAATCATCAAATTGGAATGTTGGAATAGGAAATGGATGTTATCTATTGGGAATGGTTGCACAGCACTGTTCTTGTCCCTTTTGTATTGCTTGGATGGAAAAGGGATTTGCTAGTTTCTTTGATCACCTATTAATAAAACCTTTGTTCTGTTGATGAATAAAAATTCTGCAAAAGTTTGTTCAACTGATTTTCTATTTGTCTTCAACATTTTCACAAGGCAAAACGGGCATCTACAAGAAGAGAAGTTCTCTACACAGATTTCCTTACTCCACCCATACTAAAAGAGTCAATGCTTTTGCTGGAAAAATTAGCAGATATCAAAGGTGTACCTCAAGGAGGATATCCACAGGTTAAATTAACAAGTATTACTTCATTTTATTTCCATTACTAATAGTTTTTTATCATTGCCCCGTTTTGATGTGTTTTTAGAATTGCCTAGGCTGAACGTTGCCGACTCTCAGTTGGACATTTTGAAGTAATGACAAGTCCTCCAGATATAGTTGCTGCACTGAGGTCTACTTAGTTATATTTCCACCTATGTTTTACTCAGTTGGATTCAGTGGTATCCAAATGGCTAAATATTCATCCTCTCAGTATCACAGGAAACTTTGGATTTCAACCTTGTTCTCATGGTGACTTCCTTGGCACAATTCTTGGTACAGGGATTGCAAGGGAGAAGCTTGGGGATATTCTCTTGCAGGTTCCATCTTTAACTGATTAGTAGATATTTTCACATTTTTGGCAATTCATCCATATTAATTTTTCTATTTTTTCAGAGTGAGTTGTGTGGAAATTTCATAGACCGAAAAATAAGCCTGCTGTAGAAATGCTAGGTTTAGCAGGACCTGAAAAGAATATGATTTGTATATCATGCTTAACCTGGCCCTTCCATCAGCAGATTAATTATTTTATGTTCTCTGCTTCCTCGGATCCGATTCCCTTGGTAAATAGGTAACAAAAAAATTGACTGTTGTGGGTCTTCATAGCCATTTAGAACAGAAAATCAGGATTGTATGGCACATGAAGCAGAGCAAGGCAAACCTGATGTACTTGCTCTTATGATGTAGAATAAGCTAGTGAACAGTTCAGGAGCTTCAAGTTGATGAGATGGTTATTTTGCCCAATGGGGTTAACATTTCCCTAGAGCTTTAAGCTTTCTCAATCTGTTTTCTTGATCCATTCGGTGTGATGCATATGCTAATATTCTATTTATGGACCGTATGTCTCTGGCAGATCACTTGGTTTGTTTCTGTTTTATCCCTACATGCATGCAACATTTGTTATCATACCATTTATACAGTGCAGAGATCTACAACACTCAGGTTATAGGGTTTCACCTTAAGAAAGCATGTTCAATTTCTATTTTGATCTTTTATGTCTTCTATTTAGGGTGAAAAAGGGGCTCAGGTTCTTATTGTTCCAGAACTTGTGGACTTTATGGTGTCATCATTGGACAAGGTAGTGGTTTTTTCATATGCATCGCTTACTTCTAAGTTATCCTATGTTTAGGAAGATCACAATGAGTTGTTTTAAATTTTAGTGGTTCCATTGCCTCAATTCAAATTATTATATTCTTCTTTGCATGCTTTGTCAGACATAAAGCAAAATGTAGACTGACCTTGCCCCCTGTCTTTTCTTTTCTTCTTTTTCCTTTTTGGGGGAAGATGGGTTAGGTAAGTCCTTCCCATCATCTGCCTTATCTCACCTTTTTGGCTTTGGCTGCATCAATCCCCACTTTGTATGTGCCATATCTTCTTTTAAATAAATGAACTGTGCAATCTTTTCTTACCACCTGATGGCCTAAGGGTTGTAATATTTTACCGACTCATTTGACCCATCCACTTATAACCCAGCCAAACTGTTACATTCCTGGTAGGACATAACAGTAGTTTCTGACTGCTTCGAGAGAGACGAGAGACCTCTGATAAAAACCTAAACGGTTTAAGGGTAAAATTCTTCAATAATGCCATGAGAGGAACATCAGATTCTCAGACGTAACAGGAGTCTTCCTGCTAGCTTCCAACTTCTCATGATCCACTACTCACACACACACAAACAAGTACGTGGCCCACTGCCCTCTATTAAGTCCATAACAACATAACTCACTCAAACATCCCATTAACATGACTTATTTATTTACATCAAACACTCAACTTATCATCCTGTGTGACACTTAAACCCATGCTGGCTAATATCCCTAACATCTCTTTTCCATAACACATGCCCCCCTAGTGGGCATGTAACACAAACTCATCCATTTCAGGTAGCATGTTGGAAATGGGTTCAGTCACCCATTGGATCAACTTAAATGGTTGGATTGAGTAAAAAGGCCATATCCTGATATTGGTCTCGGCTATCTGGGGTCTTGGACTCTTGGGACAGGTATACTGGACATGGGCTGACCTTTGGCTTTTTTTTTTTTTTTTGCATAAATGATTGGATTGAGTATGGATGCCAATTTGGTGGACATGGATCTTATACATTCTAAAGTCATCTCTTATATCCTTCATCTTCTCTTCCCATTCAGCTTCCATTAAGCCAATGAAATCTCCCAGCCTCGATAATTCATCTCTATCTGAACCCAGGGATTCAATCACCACCTCAGCCTTTACATGAATTCTCTCTCACAGCTTCCATCATTGTACTCTATTTTCGAACTTTTGGTCAAATTACAAGTCCTTAAATAATTTTTTTGCCACTTCAAACTACATTTTTCTTGGTATTCCCCTTGCTCTTTTAAAGCCTTGTGTTTGCACCAATTCATTCCCCACTTGTGTAGTCATTGATGCATATAACCAAACCATCTCAACTAATTGCCCCCCCATCTTGTCAGTAATTGAAGCTACTCCTAAGTCTTCTCTAATTGCTCATTTGTTATTTTGTTACTTAAAATCTTGCTACTTATCCATCTCAACGTCCTTGTCTGAGCTACACATATTTTGATCATGTTTCTTGATCACTCCAACACTCTGTTCCATATAGCAAGCTGGTCTTAGTATACTATCTTATAGAATTTTCTTTTTAGTCTCATTGATATAATGGTATATGCCAATCACGCAGCATATTGGATACACTTCTCCACATTAACCACCTTGCAGAAGAGGGCGACCACTCCTTTTCAGCCATTTCCCTTATCTCCAACCGATGGCAAAGAAACCAAGAGAAAACCCTAGACTGGGTGCGCAGAAAACAGAAATCTGGGCAGATCCGAGTTGCTTAGTTGTGCTCTGATACCATATTATGATTCGGCCTACCCTTGAGTTCTGTTAGTTTGATAACAGCCAAGAAGAGAGAAGAAAGAAGAAAGAAAGAGAGAGAGAAAGGAGGAGAAAAGGAGAGAAGAAAAGTCTGGTTCAAATGAGAGAAAAAATTACCTCTCCCATTTGGCCAGATATGTTTTATATTACTTACATAATGGAAAAGACACATGTGCCCCTACTTAAGTGAGGGACACTAGTTCTAACATAATGTTACACATCAGCAACCTCAACATAAGTATAAAGACAGTAATACCCCTACATACTCGACACTAACACTTTGTTATGGGTGATTGATCCAATGTAACATAAATGGTTTATTTGGGGCATCGCCTGATCATCAAGCTTAATTTCAGTACAAATATTTTTAGTACAATTACAAATACATGTATTCATAGTCCAACTTAATCCAAATGGATCTTAGTTATTGGAGAAGAGAGGGGCCTCGATATTTTGGGCATAATGTTGTAAGGTTAATATCCAAAATATATGATGCCACCAATTTTCTTCTTGTAGGTTGGTAATGTTCCAGTCTCTTGTGAAAAGATACCATTGCTTGCTCTAGACTATGAACCACCAAGGTTAGAACTTGTCATTTTTGTAACTCCTTATTGGTATTTATGTTGTTTCTGTTTTCCAATTGTTTGATACATTTTATATAGAGATCAGATAAAAACTGCAGATGGTTGCTTACTCTTTACAGGACAAAATCATTTAAAACAATTGAAGCATCATTGCGGGTTGATGCACTTGCTAGTGCTGGATTTAAGATTTCACGATCAAAACTAGTTAACTTGATAAGGTATGACCATTTTCATTTAGATACTACTTCTTGCATTAGTTTATAGCTGTATGGCTTTCCCTCCAACTTCTTCCTTTACTTCCATATAAGGTTGCGCTCAATTGTTTCACTTACATTACTTTGGTATTTGAAGATTCATCATTTCGATTTTAAAGAAAACTTTGATCCTTCAAAATAGGAATTTCATTAGTTCTCTCTTTTCTCCCCTCTTAATGGTCTCCCTCCTCCTTCCCCATTGTAAATCACCATTTGCCTTTCCCTAGAAGAGGAAAAAGATGGGTGATTAAAAACAAAAAAAAAAAGAATCATTTCCTTGTAGAGATCTTGGATTGTATTGTATTGGATTTAATCAGATTCTACTTCATACTTTTTAAAATAAAAAAATAATTACCTTTTAACTTATTTATCATTCATTAATATAAATATAAAAATTGAAATTATCATATATAAATTTATATATTAAATTAATATTTTATAAAGTAATATGATTTGAATAATATAAGGCCAGATGTGGAATCAGGTTCGGGGCTTTCAGAATCCATTGAAATCCCTAATACGTGCCCTTCAACTAGTGGTCCACAATTCATGTGAGACCCTCCAACTTTAGTTTGAACCCAAGTAGTTAAAGATGAAAACAACCCTATTGGAGTAGGCATAAAGGAGGCCTATCACACATATTCCAAGTATGAGGACAAAACATCAAATGGGTGTTAGAATGAGCATCGGCTGGGCAAGAAATATCCCTTGAAACATAATTGCAACTCCTGACTTTTATTGAATAAATTGGAAGGTAGGAAATAAAATATGTACCAATACAATATTCAAATGTGATGTAGCATAAATTTGTCAATTCTTTGAGTTTCACTTGTTTCCTCCAAGTAAATTCTCTATACAGTGAGTTCAAGAAATGGAAAAATGGTGAATTAGAAAATAAAACCTAACTGCTTTAAATAAAAAAAAAAAAGACTGAGCAAATAGTAAGAAAAAAGATTGAAAATTAACAAAAAGGAAGGCTAGAAATGTTGCTTGTTCACAAATACATAGAGGGCTTATGACTAAATTTAAGTAACTGTACTAGACTACTAGGTATAGTGTATACGATGTCCATGTTCAACTTTGTGCATCTGCAAAATTGAAAACAAAATCACATCATTAGTTAGATCTAATGGATAAACCAACCAATTTCAACAAAAAGAAAAACAAAGTTAACATTCATAAATAGACATGATTCTCCTAAAGAGTGGGGAGGAAGGTAAAGTATGAAAGTCTTTCCTAGTACAATTCCTGAAGACTTACTGATGATAGAAACATGAAGAGATGTTTCCAATATATATAACACCTGCCTATTATATTCACATGAAAACTTACAGACACAATTTAGTTCAAGCCCTCTCTGGTGTTTACCTCCCCCACTGGCCACTGCCCATATGGTTCTTACAAAATAAGCAAAAATAGTAAAAAAAAACAAAATTGTTATTCTTTCAGAGAATCAGCCCTGTGGTTCTGCGAAATGATGTGCTATACTGCTATCTTCAGTAAACCTACTCAATCAAAAAGGAAAATAAAAATAAATTGTTAAAAGAGCCAATAACGTAAAAGATTGGAAGTAGTGAGTAGATAGATGACTATATAAGTTCTGCAATAAGGAATAAAGTAAATGGAATGAAATGAAGTCCACCTAGTCTACTTCTCTTTTGGTATCTCCCACCAAAGGAGAGAAATATAAAACCTAAATCTAAGTGTTAATAGTTGCCTAATTTTACTGCAATGAGTGAAAGCATCCATTCTCTAAGCCACATCCATCTTGTACTGCTGACAGACTTCTTATCATCTAACAATTTGGTTGCTAGAGTTGATAAATATGTGATTTTTAAATTCTTTGGTAGAGAGTTGTGAATTTGGGATTATGGGTTAAGAATTTGAATCAAGTTATACCGACATGCACCCTCTTTTCCTTTTCCAATTTCAGCATTAGTGTTTTATGCAAAGAAACTCGGAGGAAGAAATAGAAAATTAGGAGCGAACTGTCATCGAATAAAAAAATAACAAAATAAAAGAAATAGATGTACAAGGCAACAGATAACCACCATAACTTATACAAGTAAATATGATGAATGCTAGTAACATGAGAGTGTGCAGCCACATACTAAGAACTGTAAATATTGGTTTAGGGTTGCACTCCAAATGTAATGGAACTTTGAGTTCCATTAGGTTGTGATGGAATTTATTAACCAATAAACATGAGATTGAAATTACAGAATTCAGTTGGTCTTACCAGTTAAACCAGTAAGAGTTGTCTTTACTGAAAAATGATGAAATACTAAGGTTGCAACATTACCAACCATCATCCTTTGGAACAAAGCTTTCCAAGAACAGAGATATTCATTCAACCAAAAAGAGAAGGAAGAACAAATGACTTTTAGTTGTAAGAAAACATAAACAGACAGCAGTTCCAACCATATTTAAAAAAACATAAACAAACAGCAATATTTAAAAAACACAACGAATTCAATATGTTTAGAGTAATAAGAAAAATTGCATGACTAAAGGTTTCAATAAAGGAAAACAGTTTAGGAACAAACTGATTTAGATAAAGCAAAATCAAAACAAAACTCAAAGAAGAAAGGAATGAGGAGCAAGACAATACCAAAACAGTAGCAAAGGGATGGTTATGCTAGAAGGGAGAACCAGGAAGTCTATATATAGAAAGTGATTTGGGGAGGAGAAGGAATTATTATGGCTGTAACCCAATCAATCAAACTGACTGAAATGAAAATCAGCCATCAGAAAAAAAATAGCCAATACCAGAAACAAGTTAGTGGTATAAAAATAAAAAATTTTTAGAAATAGGAAGAGATTAGAAAGAGTGAGAATGACACTTATTACACACTTGATGTGCTTGGTAAACCAAATCGACAGCTAAAAAATATAATTATTTTCGACATTCAAAAAAGTGCAAATAAATAAATATCAAACCGAACAACTGACGGTAGGATTCATGTGCTTGGTAATCATAGCCTCAGCCAAGTGAGGGTAGCTGTTGAGCCATCAGATCTACGAGGAGATGGCCAGCAATACACGTGTCCACCATGAAAAATATAATTAATAGGTATGATTAATTAAAATTCATTATGTTGAAATTAATTAAAACTAAAAGATTAAGGGATTGATTACTTACCCACGTAATCTCCTGAACGATTACCAGATTGATTACTTACCAATGTAATCTCCTAAACGGTTGCTGGTAATCCGACAAAGCAGACAACACTATCAGCTCAGCTGGGATGAACTACAAGAAGTGTAGGAGAAGAAGAGAGAAGGGGGTAGGGTGGTAGAGTTTTGGGGTAACACGGTTGAGCACCGAACGAACACAAATCCATCTTGTAGAAGAAAGAAGGTAGGCTTTGGGACTTTAGGACCAAGAAGAAGAGGGAGGGGGCAAAAGAGGGTCGCAAAGATCGGACAAGAGAAAAGAGCACACTATAGGAGCAGAAATCCATACTGTCCGAGGGGAAAACAGCAGGGTCTCCTTCGCTAAAGGGCAAAATAATAGGGTTTCCTTACCTCTTGTTCTCGGTTAGAATAGAAGGAGATATAGAGTTGAGGGAAAAATGGCAGGGTTTCATTAGGGTCTTGTAGAAGAAGGAAGGTAGGGTTTGGGACTTTGGGACCGAGAAGAAGAGGGAGGGGGCTAAAGAGGGTCACAAAGATCGGACAAGAGAAAAGAGCACACTATAGGAGCAGAAATCCATACTGTCCGAGGGGAAAACAGGAGGATCTCCTTCGCTCCCCTTCGCCAGAGTGCAAAATTATAGGGTTTCCTTACCTCTTGTTCTCGGTTAGAGTAGGAGATATAGAGTTGAGGGCAAAACGGCAGGGTTTCGTTAGGGTTTCCTTAGCTCTCATTCTTGGTCAGAGTAGAGGGAGAGATAGAGTTGAGGGGAAAACGGCAGGGTCTCCTTTGTTCTCCCTCGCAGGAGGGAAAAAACGGCAGGGTAAAATGGCAGCACCGGAGGGGAAAATGGCAAGGTTTCCCTTATCTCTCAGTCAGAGGGAAAGGGAGAGAGAGAGAGAGACTGTAAGAGTTAAAAATGAGTAGAGAGGCGGGAGAGGTAGAAATTTGAGTCACATAATTGGGTTGCTCTCATGTGGGACTCTCAATCTACTCGCATGAGTAGATTCCATTTCCTGCACGGAGAGAGCACCCATTTCGTATTAATCTCCATGGATAAGGACTATGTTGGGACAACTAAAAGAGAAAAAGAAGAAAAGGACATATTCATGAGATATTTTTACAATACATGGACTGGAGTTAAGAAATTAGAAGATGTCTGGTTTTCTGGTGATGCAGAACTTTTTCAGTGAATTTAAACTTTCCTTCTTTTTGCTTGTAACCTAACCAAGTTGTGTAAGACTAGCATTCCTAGAAAAGAGAAAATAACAACAGAACTGAGAAGGAAAGGAAAATCATTCTGTTATCTTGTCAATGTGAAGGTGGTAGCAAACAGATATCATGACATTTGATTAAAAAGGATACCATTCATTCTACATGATAAAATTGTGCTTTTGTTCTGCATAAGATGTACTTTTTCTAATTTAGGATGAGAACGAAAAAAATCCTATTGGGATCTTCTTGATGGAATTAAGAACTTGAATTATGAAAGAAAAATATTCAAAAAGAAGACGATTAGAAAACTATTCCATTAATTATCATCTAAAAATTCAATTACAATGCCTATTTATAGGCTCAACATAAAGGCTTGATTCTCCTTTTGTAGACTCCAAATTAAATCAAAATAACTTCTAATTACTCAAAAACCAAGGCAAGATCGTATATTAACATAGGGACACTCAAATGAGGACTACAATTCCTAAAATAACTCTGAATATTTTCATCAGTAACAAAAAGTGTATTGATATTAGAAATGGACCATACTTCCAGAAACAGAACATAGGGCAAATACAAATACAAACAGCTCAGATTTGACAAATTAGGTCATAAAGATTTAAATATAATTTTGACACAAATCTCTCCCATGACCAAGCAATCCTTTACAAGCTAAGACCTCATCAATAAAATAGTCACAACTTAGTTGAATATCTAATAATACTAAAATCACACAAACAGAAGGGCTTTGATCCCAGAAAAATAGGTTGAAAGAAAAGTGATGTTATTGCATCTTCAACTTTTCAAAATTCTAAAAACTATAAATGAAATCTTTAAATCAATTTGACCCTTTAAGATACCTAACCTTATTCTTGAGACATTAACAAACTAGAAAATAAATTCGAAATTTTTCAAAAAATACAAAAATCCATATCACCAAGAAACTACAAAATTCCCACTAGTTAAGAATATGAAGAAAACTTCTTTTCCCCCAGTCGTGTTCCTTGATTGACACCTGCTTCAGTTTCATTTATAAATCTCAAGATATAACAGATACTTTTGAGGACATCATAGACCTTTTCCTTATGTATGATATTCCATTTTATGCATTAGCTGTATGTTGGTAAACCCTGTGTTACAATACAACTTGATAATGAAAGGTAATGGAAATGATGTTTTATCTGATAGTAATTCAACTATCAGCATTGATCCATAAAATCTTCTCCTCTTTCTGTTCCTTCAGTAATGGAGATGTGCGTGTCAACTGGAGTCCTGTAATAAAGAACGGAACCACACTCAAGACTGGAGACATTGTTTCTGTCAGTGGAAAGGGAAGGTTGAAGGTAGGCTATAAGATCTCAATTGGCCATCAATTACTTTTTGCACCACCTTAATACTAAATGATATTTTAACTGAGTCAATCTATAAATGAACACCCTATCTAAAGGTCATTTTAACAATACCAGGTCAATTTTAAAAATGAAAATGAGAGAAAGGAAAAGCATAGTACATCACCTTCTAAAGTTATTAGGGCAGCCACTTTTAGCACATAGAATAAATTAGTTTAAAGGAAATTTGATATTCTATATCAATATCAGCATCGAGTTAATATGAGAGTGGATAGTTTCTTTCCAAAGCATACTATTATTACTATAGGGAGTCAATATTCACTTTTGAAGCAATCATCAAACTCAACGCTCTTGTTAATGCAGATTGGCGAGATAAACACAACCAAGAAAGGAAAGTTTGCTGTTCAACTCATTCGATATTTATAAATGTGCGTTAAATCTTCAGTCAATTATAGTTACCCCAGGTAGTAATTTTTGTTTCCTGTTCGTTGTAAAAAAAAAAAAAAAAAAAAAAAGGATTTCTCTGAATACCTTATTCATGGAATTTGTATTCTATAATGAGCTTGTCGTGGAAAGATTGGTTACAAGGGATTCAAATTTTGTTCTGCTTGAGTCAACATTATGAAGGCAGGCAATTTCTGCAGTGAATTGGATTGTCATGAGCATGCATCAGACAGTTCGAAACAAAAAACAGATGCCCAATCTCTAGAAAATCTGTTGCTTTGAAGTTGCGTCTCCATGGTTTCCATGTATACAAAACTTTAGGTCTTTGTAATAGTATTTCTGGGTATCTAAAATCAAGTCTCAAATGTTGTTAATCTCCGTCAGAATGAAGAGAATCTAACATTACCAATTCCACCATTGGCAGAGAGAAAATTAAAACCCTCTTTTTGTTTATATTCAAGAGCCAATTATAAGATTTTAAAACGTCCTATATGTGTCAGATGCTAATCATATTGAATTTTGAATTTTGTGCCCTCTGGGGCAGATAGTACTTTGGTTACTCTACCACAGGATCCGTTATTGTACATTTTTTTAAATGTAGAAACTGAATTTCCTGGCAACATAAGCCATGGACATGGTTCAAGAAAAGATTGCTTCAGGCTGCTTTTCGTTTGCAGGAAGAGAAGGAATAGAAAATAATATTTTTGAATATTCTTCTCTTGGATTATAACTGAGATTTTAGTTTTCAAATTTTTGGGAAATGGGGTCTAACCATTTTGATATCAAAGAGTGGAAAAAGAGGGGAAGGCTTATATGACATAAACCATCTACATTAAAAGAAAAACACATCTTTCTTATTGGACAAATGTTTCCACTGTTTCCCCTTGTGCAACCAAAGCACATGAAATCTTTGCACCTAGCTTTCCTTTGTCATCCTAACCCATCTCATTCTCTTCCATCCCACCAAAATCTTTCTGCAAACCGGAGGCAGCTTAAACATTTAACAGTAATGTCCGGTAAGACGAGCTATGAACATGATTCAGTGTAAAATAACTTGTTTCATTGCCCATTTGTGCAACCAAGTAAGAAGGATTGATACTTGCTGTAGATCTTAGCCCAATATTGGCGGGCTGGCAGCTTTGATTGAGTGGTTCCATCTTGTCCCAGTTAAAAAAATTGATGCATTGCCAAAAAAAAGTTGTAACCTTTCTTCTACGACTGTTGAATTGATTTTAAAAGCACAAGGGAATGAAAGCACAGAAACAAAGCTCGTTCTTCCCAATCAAGTATAAAACCTACAACCCACTCGGCCACTCCTACCCACTCAGCTGCACTCTGCAACCCTAGACTGTCTGATTTGCCCGGCGAAATGTATGCCAACTTGCCTACATGTGCTTGTTCATAAATGGAGCTTATTTAATAATCCTAATCCCTTATAATTTATTTTGACCAATATCTCATCACTTGGCTATGGACCACTGATATGAGACGGACAGAGTAGGGAGAAATTTCAAAATTTCCCAAGAGAACGAAAATCGAGAGGGGATTTGTATTGTAGTAATCAGTGGCAAACTTACTACATAGTCAAACCTCATAGCCGGTCTTGTGCCCCCAAATGCTCATTTTATAATAGAAATGGGATCAGAGAAGTTGAGACAATTGAACATTTCTGGCATATATAATAACTAAACAAATACAGAACAATGTCAAAGCTTTTAAAAATTAAAAAAAAAAAAAAAAAGAAAATAGAAGTCGTTTGTAGTTTTAGAAGTTATTACTAAAGAACTCAAGGAACTGGGGACAGTATAACAATTTAATTTATTATACTTCAATATGGGCTGTTAGTTCATTAAAAGGTTCAACTTTGAGTGATTAATTATCTTGAAAGAATCAGATATGGATATGTCACAATCTCAAGCAATCTTCTCCATCTCTTTGGCCCAAGATCTGTTTCAACAGCAAGCAACCAACACTGTTTTCTCTGCTACTTCTGAAAACTATGCCAAAGACATGGTTGTACAGACGGTCTAAACAATGAATGTTTTGAACTTACTGAAGAGTTAAAACAGAAGAAGAAAGAACTTGTTGCTATTCAGTACTTTCTTCCACAAATCCAGCCCCACTTCAAAGCCATTTGATAATTGATGCCAATACAAGACCAGAATGCATTAGGTAGATTGAAGACTGAAAAAGTTTCAGGTAGAGAGTGGAAGGAAAAAACAAAACCCAAGTTCCCTTGACATCAAATACTATCAATCCAGAAGAGCGAAAAGGACTTCGGTGAAAGTAATAAAAAATGATTTAAGCATCCTGAATATAGAACTAAAAGAATGGAATGGTGAAATAGAATTCATGTAACCAACCCATATAATTGAGACAAGGCTTAGATGATGATGATGATGACTGACTTTTTATATCAACAGTGTTTTTCTTTTTATATTGATTGAAGAACAAACTTGCTCCTTACATAGCCTTACACCTATGATAAAATGAGAAAAAGATTTTGATAGTAGAAATAGAATTTCCATAACATCCCAAACTACTAAGGAAACTGAACTTAATTGATACATATATCATCACTTATCATCTCCTCCTCCATCTCAAAACTCGGCTACTCCCACCTTCAAAGTTGTTACAGAAAACATCAAGCATACCCACAAGTTCCATACTCACATTTGATGCCCGGCAAGCACTTACGATTGCACTCGCCGCAGTGAGTGTCGTTGTAGACTATGTTGGTGCAGGTCCCATGGCAGCAGAGCTCCCCAAAGCCACACTTGTGCCCACACCTCCCACAGTTGTTCTGGTCTCCAAAAACATCACGGCAACGTGCTTTGCAGCATTGAAGAAGCCCAGTCCCATTGTTCACCGGAACCCCATCACAGTGTGAACCTTTTCTGATCCTGGCAAGAAACAGATTTCTGGAGAGGGCATTAGTTGACGGGCTGTCTACCAGATTGCCTTCACCATCTTCTGTGTCCTGCGAGAAAACTATATGAGAATGTAGGATTAAAACCAATGGAAGGATTACAGAGAGAGTGATGGAAAGTTTGAGAATAGAAGTTGCCTCTCTCTCTGTGTAGTCTGCAAAGGAAGTGGCTATCAGAGTGCACGTTAATGAGTATTTGAACATGTGGGTGTCTCGTAAACTATTGAATAGTTTCTATCTTTCAGTCTTAATTGCACGTTAAATGCTTAATAGTTAATCAGGTTAATTAAATATATTTAATGGGTTTTAATTGAAACGCAAGATTCTAGCTTCTATATATATGAATTAAATTTTTATTTATCATACATTTTAGTCGGGCACCTGTGTGACAAACTGACAATACAATGGGCTTTGTTAAATGAAAATTAACCAAGGAGTCCTATGATGTTCTAAAGACGAAGGTTTTTCATATTTAAACAGAAAATACTAACATGTTTCAAGAAAGAAGAACCCTTAGTTGATAATTTATGATCTTCATAACAGAAATAAGCATGCACAGAGGTATCGCCCCTAAAACTTAATTGCACACATTAAATTCTTAATAATTAATTAGATCAAATAAATATATTTAATGGGTTTCTATTAAAACCCTAGATTCTAACTTTTGTCAACTTTGTATCATACATGTGCCATTTAATCCTGCAAGGTGTAGGTGCAAATGGAGTCTTGGGCCTCTTGGCATATTACGGACCCCATCATGGCTGATATTCGCCTATCAAAAAATCACGGTTGAGATTCTTCAAACATCATTTCCATTAACAAGTAAAAGAAAAAAAAAATTAATAGATTTGAAATTCGAGCAATATCTTATTGAATTCAAGCTTAGATTTGTTTATTGTATTTGAATCGAATTGGGATTGTAAATTTGTAATTGGACATTCGTAAATAAATTAAATTAAAAATAATAAATTATTATTATATTTATAAAATCAATTAAAAATAACTTGATATTGTATTTAATAAATAAAAGAAATTGAGAATTAATTATATGAACCTCCACCCAACTTTACTAATTAAAAATATTTTTCTTTTTTGAAACCCCTAGGCAAATTCCATTCAACTAAGACATCAAATTGAGCACCATAGGCCAACCTTTATATGTTCCCAAAAAACCCAAGAAAACATATTCGAATGCACCCCAACCGAAAGTAGAAGCAAAGATAAAAAGAAACAAGCACAAAGAATACACACAAATTTATGTGGTTTGGCTTATAGCCTATGTCCACAGGCGGAGGAGGAACAAAAATCCACTATGTAATTGGTAATAGAGAAGAAATATAGAGTTGTACACTCATAGAAAAATCCTACCCAAATACACCCAATGTCTCACTCTTCTCTCACAAGATTAAGACTCTGTGTACAAGAGAGAAAACCTCCGAAATGCATAATTCTTCGTATTCAATTCAAACCTATAAGATGAATATGAATCAGGTCCATACCATCTATGCTTCCACCACAAACCACTATGGAATTTTTCCTTCGGATTTTTCTCAAATTAATTCGGAACGGATTCATGAAAAGGGTCACCACAAAGAATTCAAGGCACAAACATAACATTATACAATCAAAAGTATTAGATGAGGTCATTGAGTGTTATGTAAAGAAGCATAATGAGCAAGCCCATGGGCTGCTTTATTACAAAAACGAGATTATGTATGAGTGGGCAACTAAAAGGAGAATTTACATAGTTTTCTACACTTAAAAGGATGATATGGTTTCATGTCCAATCCATGGCCATGGGTTTCACTAGTAATAGGTGTTTCAAAGCAGCTCTTGCCTCAGTTTCTTCTAGACTAGCAGAGGTTACTCGAAAGGCCCAACTCACTATAAAATGACTAACTTTCATTCCTTGTGTGATCAGATCAGACCAACTTATATCCAAAATTACATACTGAAGGAAAGAGAGATCCATCATATGGATAGTTGAACCATGCAAGGTGGCTATGCAAAATTTCAAAAATTTATTTCTCCTTTCCGAGAATCTTATTCCCTATTTTAGAAAAACTGTATTTTTCAAGGTTCATTCTTGAAACAAATCAGACCAAATCTGAAACCTGAAGGGATGAGAGGGAGATACCTGATACGAAGAAATATAATCCTCCAATGAAGGTGTTCACGCCCAAAGAAATCTCCAAAAACTGCTCCCACTAAAGATGACATAGTGTAGGGTGGAGCAGAATCAGCAGTGTTCTTCCCAAGAACCGAATCTTTCAGCAAGAATTCGATGGAGGCTGTGAGCACGACTTCAGATCAGCCTTTCTCCAAAGACTGGCATCAAGAACTATTCTTGATCGCTCCTACAAAACTGGAGATCAAATTGGTAGGTGGCGGCAACTGGAGGAGAACGCGGGGAGAAGATGGCGTAGTCACACTGTTGTTGTCTTTTCTCTGGGTGATCTGAGATTTGATCTCTAGGATGGAGTAAAGAATGGTTCGCCCCCTCCTCCTTTTATAGACTTAAAGAGATCAGCTCCTAATCCCATTAGGAGTTTCCTGATTCAAATCCTTATTTGAATCTAGACTCTCTTTAAGTGATAAGGATAAGTCCTTATCTTATCTGCATATTAGATCATCTCTCTCCTAATCTCATTAGGAGGTTTCTAGATCCAAATCTCCATTTGGATCTAAACTCTCTGAGTGGATAGGGTAAGGCTCTATCCTATCTACTGATCCAAATCCCAAATCCGCCCCTCTTTAATTAGTCTCACTAAATCAATTTGAAATGGGCTTTAGGCCCAATAAGTCTTATGTGCTTAGTGGCCTTCCAAATTGCTGCCTAGTTGGGCTTCTTTGTATGGCGTGGGACTCAAACATTGATCTACACATCAGGCACATGGGTTCAGCTCAGCCTTTGTTACAAGGCCTGGCCGAATACACTGTTATGGACAGTGAACCCCCTGAGCTCATCACCATTGGCTCTTAACGGGCCCAATACTTACACTAAGTGGTCCCTAGGCCAAGCCACCTTATAAAAACCTAGGGACTGTGGGCAGATGCAAGATTAGTCCATCAAGTATTACCCTCAATGGTCTTACACTTAACCTCTCAGCCCATAATGATCAAACACTGCCCGACAAGAGAGGACCTCTCCCTTGGCTGCAAGGAATAGTGTTGCACTCTCTACTCACATGGATCCCGGGAATTAAAACCTTTTG